TCTTTCTTTAGAGTCTTTTGGGCATCCCTGCTGTAAGGGGCTGCTCAAAAAAGAGGAGCAATGAAGTAACTTGAGTGCTGTCAGTGAAGGCAGCTGTTATTCAGACTCCTCAGTCTCCAGTGCAAAATATTCTGGTGTGGGAGAGACTCTTGTTCAGCAGCTAATGTGGGAAATGCCACATTTATTTGCACAGACAGCTAATGGAAGTGCTAGTCTTGCAAACAATTCTGCAATTCAATAGGACAGACATGGGAATGGGAGGGTATGGGAATGAGTTTGATTTCCTAGTGTCAAGTTCAACCACATTTTAAAGAAAGGGCCATTTTAAAGAACCATTGTTGAAACATTGCAGCACCTACAATGCTTTTTAAAAGAGATGCTGAATACTGAAACTATAATAAATAACCCACTTGTTGGATTTCATCACTGCTATAAATGGCAACCAGGCTGATTCAAAGAGATTTAAGTGTAATTGTATTGTTTGCTCCTGTCCTGCTTATAGAAATTACACCATTCCTTTCTGCATTCAGAGTTGTTTACGTTCAGTGGCAACATTACTGTTTTTAGGGTGTCTGGGATATTTCTGTCTACAATGCAATGCAGTCTCTGGGTACACAGTGTCACATTTGCCTGTCTTCATCTATGTTATTAATTTTTTTTTTTCCCAAATGGCAAACTATTTACAAAGATTTATCCCCTGAAGGTAGGGCCCAAAGTAAGAACCAGGCCACTATCTGATTTTGAGTGCTGATGTACTGACTGCTTGCAGGGAACATCTTTCTGAAGTCCATGGTTAGTCAAATACTTCCCAGATAATGCTGCACACTGCGCTGTGCTTGTGCAGCCCAGCAGTCCTGGGTTGGAACTGACAGGAAATAAAGCTATACTGGTTTCTCTTCAGCACATGGCTTAAAAATATGGATGCACAATATCAGAGTTGGGTAATTGACATTATTGTAATTGGTTTCATAAAGTACAGCTCTAGTAGCTGGCTTAAAGTTAAGTTGATTCTTGTAATCTTATCATGTGCTTAGTATTTACATTTTTTAATATCATTGTAAATCCTTGGGTATGAGATCTCACAGTCAGGATCAGGGTCCTTTAGTCATCATACTGTGAATTGTAGTCCCTAACACAGCTAACAAGTAGCAGTTTTCATCTAGGCAAGTCCTTAAATACGATAGGTATACTTGATTGAATACAGAAGTTGTGTACTAGAGGCTCTCACAAGTCCTCTTTTGAAGAACTAGCATTTAGACTTCAGTTAGAGAGGCACAGCTTTGTGTAAAGTGGGATTATAAACAATCCACTGGATGCTATGTGCTTAAATTGTAAGTTTTTCCTCCATCATCTTTGTTCTGAATGAAAATTTGAAGATAGGTTATTGCATAATGCATTTAACTTTCAGAGCAGAAACTGCACGTCTGAAATAATTTTGAAACCTCTGCCTGCAATTACACATCTTTCTCCTGCAGTTACATTTTCAAAGATTGTGTTTTGGAAAAAGTCTTTTTTCGTTTAGTGTATGTATATTATTGGTCACCAATCTGTAGTTGATGTACTGGGAAAAGACATTTTTGATTATGAGGGATAGTATGTGTAATATTTTGTTAAATTGTATCAAGCTAGAGCTTCCATGTTTAAGAAAAGCATGAAAATTTTGTAAGAACTGTGATCCAAAACTGCCCTGCAGAGAAGCAGAATTAGGGATGCTTTTATAAAGAAAAAAGCTATCAAATTATCTGTACTCTCTATAATGATTATGAAATTGAGGTTAAAATTGTCTCTCTTTTATTGTTCCTTTGGCTAGTTAAGGTTTTGCTTTGTTCTAAGACCATTGCTATTTTGATAAACTAGATTTTACTTATTTCTCCAAAATTTGAAATACTATATAGCTCTTGACATTTGAGCAGTATAGAGAATTAGCTGGTAAATAATTTTTTACTCATATTGCTGAGGATATCCTTTCTCCTGTTATTTTAGATTTCAATAAAAACATTTCTTTTGAAAAATTATGCTCATTATAGGATTTCTGAAACTTAGATAACTGAGGCTTATGTAACTGAGGCACCCTAAATTGCAAGAACTACCAGCTAAATCCTGTATTTTGCAGGGAATCTCAGGATTTAACCAGTTGTGTGAAGTTGGTTATAAACGTTGTTGTAATATCAAGTAAATATGGGGATCTTTTATAGGCAGTAGATAATCCTGTCAGTGTACATATGGCAGGTCTATTGGTGTGCTGATTGTGGGGGACACTGCCATGATTGATGCGTGGAGTCCTCTGTTGAAGGGATCACTATGAAATTTTAATGCAAGTACATTGTGATTATTTGTTCTCTTTTTTCATTTAACGAAATTGCTTATTTCCCAACCCCATGTTGCAGCCTTAACACTGCTGTACAAACCCTGTTTTACATCTTTTTAACATTTCCATCTAAGAATGGAGGGATTAATTGCATCTGCTAGATCTGTTTCCATTGCTGCTTCACTATATTTTCACTTTACTTGTGGACTTAATTGCAGTATGTATTTAAATATGAACAAGAAGAGTAGTAAAACTGTCTGTAGAGTATTTTGTCAAAACCAGTCTCCCATAATTCTTTCTTTCATTGGTTTTGCCTTGCACAATGTTTCTATTCATTATCCCAGGTGTCTGTAGAAAACATCCATAGCCTTAAGTAATGGAACCATTACTTCCATTTACAATTTGAACTTGTTCAGCCTTGATACTCTTGCTTTTGGAACTAATCAATGATACTGTCTCAAAGTGTCTTTAAGATCTAACTGCACATTCAGACAATGCCGTATAATGTCAAAATTCTGTTGGCCACAGTGTAGTTATATCTTAAAGGACTGCTTACACTGTTTAGAATTCAGGATCTTGGGTGGATGAAATGTATCAGTACAAAATCAAACTGAGGAATAATGGGCCCTGTCTGTATGCTGAATTATATCTAGTGAGGCCTGATAAATTTTCCTTCTTGTTATTTATTCTAATAAATTCATTCTATGCATGTTTATTTTTAATACTTATTAAAAATATTTCCACAAAATATCCAATAGCTAAATCCCCTATGAAATAAATTACAAAACTTTTCTAATAGCAAGTGTTTTAGACATATGTTTTATGTAAATATATATGTTTTTTAAATTATGTTTTGGAAAGAGTGAAAAATGAGGGAAAAGGTGGCATGTCATGGCATCTACAGCAAACTGTCTTGTTTCCCTCTCTGTCTGAACCCACTCTGCCTCAACTTTGTCCACCCCAATCTCCTTTAGCTCTGATACCTCAAGTTAGCAGGACCATTCACTTTTCCTGCTTTTGGTAAGCCAAGTCCTTTGGCTTTTGGTTCATTGTCAAAAGTAGTGATATTTTTATGTTCCACATCCCTGTCCACAAGAAGCTTGGTGTGTGTGCCCCAGCAGAGACTGTAGAAGGTTTGGTGAGTGCCATGGAGAGCAGCTGGGAGAACTTGGAAAGATCAGCCTGCCTGAAGATGTGCAAGATGGCTGTTTAGCATACAGCTCTCTCCTGAAACTGTGGAAGTTTCTCTTCTCCCCTTCCCAGCACAAACATTTTGAGGGCTTGATCCTAGGAAAAAAAAAAGATTGTCAGAGGTAAAAATACTGTGTCCAGCTCCAATACAGAAAACTGTATGTATAACACTGAATATTTTAGTGAAGCAAGGGAGCCAAAATACAGTACATATCCAGGCAGGAGGAATGCAGAAAGATAATTGGATGCATTTCATGCAGTTTAATTGCACAGTATTATAACAATAATATAAAAGGTGGAATGATTTCAGGAAAGGGTTGTGAAAAATACAGATTTAATGATGACCAGGTACATGTTTCTGGAAGGATGTTTTTCTGTTGCAAGGCAGCTTTTCAGTGAGAAATTCCTTGCTCTCCTGTCTACCCTGTTGAACAAGTGTCGTTTCCTTCCCTGTTAACTCATAGAATTTCTGCAGCTCGTTATCTGTCTGCTGTTACCAGGATGCCATTAACCATCTGATGACTTCTCTTGCTCTTTCAGTTAGAAAGCAGCACATAGCAAGCACAATAAAACTCTGTTGTACTCAAAATGACCAATTAGATTTTTTGGAACAGAATGTTCAAGAGCTTAGTATATGCCAAATTGTTTTTCAGTGTATGTGAAATATAAGCCCATTCCAGAGCAAGTCCAGTACTGGGAATAAGACACTTGTATTTTCCATTTGTGCCATTATGCACACAGCTAATCTGGGATTATATGGATAGTCCCATAAGGCTGGCACATACTTCAGATATTAGGTAAATGTCTCAAATCAGCAGATGCCTTCCTGTAGTATCAAGGATTTGCTAGTACATAGTTCATGAGCTTGGTTCTCCTGAGTTAGTTTAGGAATGGAGGAACCAGAAGAGGGGAAGAAATGCTGTCAGAAGTCCTCAAAGTTAATTTCCTTACTGATGTGAGTGGAACACACTTGCAAAGTCTGCTTCTTGGAAGTTCTATACTTAAAGGAGACATGAAGGGTGTTTTTGACAATTCTTTATTGTGGGGAGAATTCATGTCAGTCCCTTGCATTTTACTGCAGTACGGAGCAGAAAAGGGGAAAGAGATTCCACAGCAGTTTTGCATACAGGATCTACTTGCATATAATAGAAAATGTACTGTTGACCAGGATGCTTACATTATTTCCAGTAACAGTATATACATATTTTATGCTTTATGTGTGTTTTAATACTCTGAATGTTAATACTTAATTGAATAAATACACCAACAGTAGATTTGTGAGCTTTATGACATGCACCTAAATCTTTTCATGTGATGATCGTCTTAAATTTCACGTGTCATCACAGAAATGAAATTGTGTGTTACACTTTTACTCTTTGCTTTGTCAATTCTAGTAACTTTATATTTGGTATTATTGTTTTGAAATACAGTGTTTGTACAATACACAACAGAGTAGTATTTTTTAATAATTAAAATTTGGCATATCTTTTTTTTCTTACAGAAGTTTTGACGTTGGGCTGCATCGCTTTCTGGTCAGGTAAGCTAATACTTTGAATTTTACTCCCATACTGCTGGGGTTTAACCTCAGCAGACAGCCAGGCCCCATGCACATTCACTCCCTGCAGTGGGATGGGGGAGAATTGGAAGGGTAACACTGAGAAGAGATGTGGGATGGCATAACAGTTTAATAGGGAAGTTAAGAGCTGAGCCACACACAAGCGTAGCAAAACAAGGAATTAATTCACTCCATTGTGTGTAGTGGTGACTTGGGAAGACAAATGTCACGACTTGGAGCATTCCCTTGCCGCTTCCTTCTTTCCCCCACCTTGGTATGCCAAGTGTGACACCAAATGGTGTGGGATATCCCTTGGGGTCACCTGTCCTGTGTCCCTGCCTCTCATCCTCTTGTGCACCCCCCAGTCCAGTTCTCTGTGATGTGAGGAGCAAAACAGGCCTCGAGTGTAAGTGCTGCTCTGCAGTAACAAAAGCATCCCTGTGTTTTCAGCAGCACTGTTTTCAGCACAAATCCAAAACACAGCCCCTCACTAGCTGCCATGAAGGAAACAGATCCTATCCCAGCAAAAATGTTAAAAAGCAATTCTGTTGTTAAAAGTAGAAATCACTATGTGAATTCTGTATTACTTTATACTTTCTATGCTAAGTTGTTCTTTTGTCTTCTGTTGATTTTTTAGTTTGAAAAACTTTAACTATTTGTCTTGGCTGTCTACTCAGTGTCAGTGTCTAATGGACTTCTTTAGGAAAACATGACTTAGGAAATTTCAGTGGCTGTGAAAATCTTAATTTTTCTTGCTCTGAAGACAAGGTTTTAACAACACTTTTTCCACTGGTAATTCTACCCTTCATTCTGTGTAAAAAGGGCTTGAATTTTATAGAAAATTTGGAATGTGGGGGGAAGTCTTGTATTCTCAAGAGAAAAACTAATTTATTCAATGTGTGCAGTTCACTGTTCTGAAGATGCATCAGGAAAGTGGAATCATTGTTTGAGTGCTTTGGTTGATATTTAGAGGGATGAAGCAATTAAAGAAGGGCACTTCAGCAAGAAAAGGGAGGTTAATGCATTTGAATTCTATACTGAAAAACTGTTTTTGCTGTTTAGAGTTTTTTGTATGGGCCAAGTCACATGTTCACCAAGAAGGTGCTTGCCTTCATTTTTAATAAAATACCCTATTACCATCTTCTGATCTTTACACAAAAGTGTAGTGTGTACCATGAAGGATCAATTTTTCTGTGGTCCTTGGGCACTTAGAGAATGAATTGTATCAGTTATTTCATCCACTGAAATGTCTATCAGTGAAGAACTCTACCTTGGAAGAAGGAATCCAGTATGTATGAGCCAGAATATGCTGTTTGGGTCCCACCATAAGGATCAGATTGTGTCAGCCTTTCTTTGAGTTGGCTTTGCTGTTTTGTCATATTTCCTGGATAAAGGCTGTTCAAAGCCTTCACATGTGAGTCCTTGTGGTTTTAATGCAGTGGTTTTTGGCACCAGATACGAGATCATACAAGCCTAGGTCACAAGGAAAATTAGGCTTGTTTTAAGGTTGCACAGACCAACCCACTTCTCATAACCTTTGAGCTGTAGACTTTGTGTATTTCTTTCTGTGCAATAACATTACAATGTTTAACAGATAGTTCCCTTCATAAAGGCATTGTGTCAATATTACTGAATGTACTTCTGTTTTAGAGTTCTTAGGCAACTGAATATATAAGTTCAGGTATCAGTTCTACAAAATTAGTTACATCTATATTTTGACAAGGAGATTTTGTTTATAAATAATCATATAAGAAATTGTAATCATCATATTGAGATGTGGTTTTAAAGATACTACTTTATAAAAGCAATAGAATGTCTGAGAAGGTCTTAGGGGAATGCATATGGATACTTAACCAAGGGTAGAATCATGGTAAGCATTGATGTGCTAAGTTTGAGACCCTGGTAATGCTTCTGCCATAAAATATTTTTATTTGCTTAATACAAAATGTGTAATAAGATGCTGTTCTCTTGTACAGCACTGCTTTACATCCCAAGGAGATACAGTATTTAAGTTGTATGTTTGTGTGATCCTGGACTGCAAATAGTCATGGAATTGGCATGAGTTGAATGTCATCTTTGCCTCATGTATGATTTTTTCAAAGCCAGCTGTGTCCTGTGCAGTTCCTCTTCTAACCTTAGATAAGGCATTTTCAGCTTGTTACCTTCCTCTGTTAACTACTCTGTTAACTACATCATCTGCTTTCTCTGTAACTGTGTTGCTAAGGAGGAAGTAATTTTCTCTTCTGAAGTACCTGAATGAGTTTTGCTTAGTGTTTCCTTAACTTAAAAAAAAATTCCTTTTAGTGGGTAACTTTGGAGTAGGAAACAGACTTGGTGTTAATCTCTTCTGTTGGTTTGCCTTGAAATTTTTTTTAAAGTTACTGCCTTTTTTTGCCTAGACAGTCTGCTCCTGAGAACTTGCAGTTCATCTCCTGTGTTCATAAAGTATCTGTCATATATGTTATACAGTTCTCTTCACAGTTTTCATTTCTGTGTGAAATAAAACAGTAGGAAAGAAAAAAACTTCAACCCAAACAAAGCTGAGTTGCAGGAAGCATTGAAAGTCTATGAGGTGGAATTTGAAATGAAAAATAAATTATATTGTTTTAAGTATAATGGCTCGACTCTGCCATGCAACAGGGAACCCAGTATGACACTTGCAAATACAAAGTGCGGGGCCAACAAAACTAAAAATAGTCTCTGCTAAAAGGACAGTTTGCCTAATTAAATGCTGACTGAAGGAACTAGGACTGTATGTACTGTTAGCCTGGTATACACAGTCAGTGGCTTCCCCAAGTGAAGCATGACACAAAGTAATGAGGAGAATTACAACTACACAGGGTTTTTTTCTGCATTCTTAGTAAAAAATTATTAGAATTTCTGTCCACCCATCTATTTGTTGAACTATGCTTCTGATACTATTTTAAGATAGCTTGGAAAAGTTTAAAAATCTCATATAATCAAATGGACTATGGATAGGTACATATTATACTGTAAAAGCTAATAATATGTTGTGACTTGGACTGAACTGGATTCTGGTAATAGATTTTTAATTACTGCTTGCAAGCTGAAATCAAATGGTATCATGGAACTTATATTTGTGAAAGTAAAGTGCAGTTGAGTATGTAGAGATCAGGGTTTTGAACATTTGTTAGCTATACCATTATATTTGAAGTAGGGATCCTGGAAACTCACTGGGGAATGATTAGTACTTTTGTGCTGAAAACTGAGGTTTGGTAGTAGTAATGGAAAATATACTACTCTACTTGGAAGGTTATTTCCCCAGTGTTTTCACACAATGATATGAAAGAACCTATTTGTTACTACTTTAGGATTGCCAAAATTATTCATCATATATTTAAATCACATAAGTACTATACAAATGTAGTTATATTTTTCCAATGTCACTGCAGGAAAACCAGCCCTTTTTCTCCTAAATCAGAGCATTCTCAGAATGGAGCAAAGGTGTATTTTCAGAGTTTCTATAAAAACATATAGAAATAGCCTTTAGCATAGCAGTTTAGAGGAGAAAGAGTAAGAGAAGGCTGCCTGTTGCTCTTTGCTCACTGAAGCTATTTTTTCTAGGCATTTCATCCAGTGCTGAGAACAGAGCATTGGATGAAATAAAATTGTTAACTTGTGGGAATATTTACAGCCCTGATGCCAAACAGTACTTCCTTTAGGACAGCACTGATGATGACAGTGGGGAAGAATGACAGTTCCTGCAGGCATGATTCTTTTGAAAAATCTCTATGCTTTCAGCTTTGCTGTGCCTTTGAAAAAGTGTGAATCATACTCATTCCAGTACAGATCTGGCTTTGAAGAGAGCTGCAGGACCACACACCCCCAGTGTCTCCAAAAGGCATCCATCTGTTAGCAGTGCTCTCAGCTCACCCCATGGTTTGCAATTGCTTTAGCTTGTTTAGAGTTCCAGGTTATTTAGGTTACCTTAGTCCTGGGTGCAAAGGTACTCTGAAAACAGAACTTGGAAATCACCCACTTTTTAGTTTTCTCAGGTAAAGCATGGCATAATTTACCTCTAGGATCAAAAGCTACTGTGTGGTGACTGCTACTGATTATTTTAGTTAGGAAAAGGACACCTCTGTATAAGGGCAGAATCATCTCATGGTGAAAGAGGGGGTTATGGTTCTAACTAAGGTATGATAATGAAAGAAGAAATGGAAAAATCTGTTCATCATCTGGCTTAATTTCTGTATTAGTTTACTGTGGAATCCCTTGGTATCCCACATCTTCAAGCTATCCCAAGCCAAAGCCCCTGCTTAAAAAGAAACCCAAGCAGACCTTTTTGTCACTGCATTGAAAAAAAACTCCACAAAAACACTTGACCAAAAAACACCAACACGCCCAAAAATTTCACAATAACAGCCCCCAAACTTCTGAGCTTCCCTTTTCTCTTTAGTGCACGCAGGTCTTGAAAGGTCAACATATGCTGCAGCAGTTCTCTAACTCCATTTCTAGGTAAGCTCAGTGGTGATTCTTGGCTCTAACAGCTGGACACAGATTCTGTGTGAGGTTCAGTGGAACACATGGCACTCTCTGGGAACCAAATACCACTGCTAATGCTGTTCCATTTCTGTTGTTCTTTTGAATGTAGCTTGCCCATAAAATACTATTGATGATCTAATATGTTGTAGCTGGGCCAGACAGCACAATATTGAGATTCCACTTTTCTCCAGCAGCATTGATAAAGGTATGTGGATAGACACCTCTGCTTTTGAAAGTGCTATCCCAGGGATGCATTATTTTTTCTTTGTTTTGTCAAGACATTTGACTTTTTGGTTCACTCTGTGTCCTGGATACCTAGTGAGCCTTAAAGCATACACAGCAGTCATAGAACCATACAAAAGTTTTTGTTCTAAGGGGCCATTAAGGATTGTCTAGACCGCCTACTCTGGAATGAGCAGCTGCAGCTTCAATTAGGTCAGGTTGCTCAGGACTCTGTCCAACTTGACTTCAAATAT